AAAAAAAAAAAAAAAAAGTACTCTGTTCCTTTTAGGTGACAAACAATAGCGGTCCTATGTAGAACATTTGTGTTAAAGGGACATAAACACCCTAGGACCTAGCAGCTGTAACAAAACATCAGAAACCGTCCTGGGAATCCCCTCTGTGCATTGCGGGCTGATCTTTGGTGGGCCCTCCCGTTGGGCCCAGTAGCCATGAGGAAAATGAATAGTTTATAACAGCCTTCTTTATAAAGATGGGGAAATGGAAGGCATTTCTCTAATTCCTAATGAAACAAAATAGAATAAATTAATGTTTTCAATCTTTTCAGGCTTTCATAGGAAATTAGGTAATTGATATCAAAATAGTATGACATCTTACAATTCAAAGATGCATATTTTGTACACAGTACTCCCCTCTTATCCACGGGAGATACACTCCAAGAACTCAGTGAATGCCTCGAGCCATGGGTAGTACCAAACCCTATATAAACTGTTTTTGCTTCTACATAACTGTGATAAAACTTAATAGGCATAGTAAACAATTAACAACAGTAACTAATAAAATAGAACAATCATAACAAAATACTATAATGAAAGTTATATGAATATGATATCTCTCTCTCTTTCTCAAAATGCCTTAATATTTTCAGAATAAGGTAATTGTGCAGGTAATTGAAACTGTGGAAAAAGAAATCACAGATAAAGGGGGGCTACATATAACATTCTCAGATTGGAATGTGTCTGATAATCTACGCCAATTTGCAGTTATAATCAGCTATCTTTGCTGGTAAATAAAATGATGGCGCGTTGGACGATTGGTGGCAGCTTGGTTGTGTGTTGAAATAGGATATAGTAATTTTGGGGACTTTGTCCCCCACCTGGCTGAAGACCCTTCTTCTTTCTCTGTCTTGCCTTTTAAGGCTGTACAAGGCCCACAGAAAATCCTTGGCCCCCTCACTTGCCACTGGCTGTGGCCTATGCCCACGTCTGCCACACAGATCTGGATGTCTGGAATAAATTCATTTCCTGTACTGAAAAGCAGCAGACAGACCAGATGTGTAATTTGCAGAGCCCAGTGCGAAATTAAAATGAAGGGTTCCCATTCACAAATTATTGAGAATTCTAAGAGAGTAGCTGCAGAGGATTAATCCAAGTGTGGGCACCTCCTGAGGCTGAGGCCCTGTGCAATTGACTGCACAGGTCATACACCCATAAACCCAGCTCTGGCACCAGATCCTGGCTGTAGCTTCCCTATTAGTGCCCAGGGTCCCTGGGCCTACACAGCCACCAGGGATACGAGAATCAGGATCTGCCACTTCCTCTGGCTTCCCCAGATCCAGACAGACACTCCTCCAAGACAAGCTTGCTAAGTTGGCCATCCAGGCCAAGGCTTGTCTCATGGTCCTGGCAAACTTCTACACACTTCTTTTTACATATACAAATGTACACATTTCACTAAAGCCTGCTTACTTTTGAGAACTGAACTTAGGTTTCCTGCTCTTTCCCCCGGGCATTTCTGATTTGGGATCCATTTTCTCTTTCACACGTAAGTTTTCTTCTAAGCAGATCTGAAGGTGGGAATGAGGAAGAATATTTTAGACATTGAGACCTCATCAATATCAAGTTCCTTATTTGGGGGAGGTAGGAATGGGCTGCTGAACCTTAAGAAATCACTGTGGGCACCACCATTAACCCTCCCTCTATCTAACTATCCACCCTGTCCTTCCCTCCTTCATCCTGGGCTATAGTTGTGAATCATCTCTCATATGAAAGTGTGAGTGATTATAAATTGGTTTTATAATAATACTGAGTACATTGGATGTTGTTTTTCCATTCCTGAGATACAGACCACACCTATGGAGCATATTGCAAGGGTACAAGTTAAATCTATCAAGTATTGAACACAAATATCTTAACACTGTGATTAAGTAAATCAGGTATAAGCTATGTTAATTAATAGGATGTAAGCACCCCAATTTGTACAAATAATCAACACATTGAATCCCACAAAGGCATAAATGTATTCATGATCTATGTATCTATGACTTAATTAAAAAAGAAAAGAAAAGAAATCACTGTGGGGAGTGCAGACTCTCTGGACAGCCTCTGCACGCGGAGATTCTGTATGGGGAAGATGACTCCAGCCCAGTGTTCACCTGAGTCCCCACACTCCTCAGGACGCAGAACCCCTGGTTTCACTCAGCTGGAATCCAAATGGCACCTGCCTTATGAGAGCCAGGACCACCATGTGTTGCCTGCCCTCACCGTGTGTGTCAGCCTTCTAGACAAGGCTGGAGGGTTTCCCACGGAGAAGCGTATGTGATATCGTAGTTAGTCATCTGCTTTCCACCCTCACTCTTTAGCTTTGTTGTGTCACCCTATCTTGTAATTGCCACACAAAGAGATCCACATCTACTACAGCCTGGATGCCTTTTATTTCATTTTTCTTGGCTCTTTGCTTCTACTAGAAATGGGACAATAATTAATTTTTATTTTCATTTTCTTCTAACTGAAATGTCACGTTTCTTTTATCATGAGTATATACATTCACCCACAGTCATATTAGTGGTACCTATAACTCTGTTGCCAGTCTAAATCACAGATATTTTCAAATCTCATTACTATGATTATAGATCTCAAAATATTTTTATGCACATCAGCACTTTGAAATGATGGTTGTCATCAGACATGTCATTCCATCGCACTGTGACATACAGTGATAAAAGCACAATTAATAAAGAAGCAGAATATCACATAATTTTCATATTTTGGTAACTATTGCTCACATAAATTTTCAGTGTTACTCTTTGCATTTTATTTTTGCATATAAGGGAAAGTATTTAGAGGGAACTAGAGCATGAAAAGGTTAAGGAGAGATGGTAGTCTCGGGAATCCTGGATGTCACTGAGCTGGGAATCTGGAGGACATTCCTTCCTCCTGCTGCTCTTTGGGGTGAATCCTTAGGGTCCTCTGCCTCAGAGCCTAGCTCCCAAGCTACAGGCGAAGAAAAGGCAGTATTCAGCATTTCAAATAATGAATGTTTCGGTCTTTTGTTAACACTACCAACAAAATAAACTCCTTTTGTGCTTTGGTCCCAACAGGTACCTTCTCAAACCAGATTTCATGAGGAGGCCTGATCGAACGTTCGATCCCTTTTCGGAAACCCCTGTTGATGGGGTCATCGCAGCCCACTGTTCAGTGCAGGTAAGGCCCCTCCTCCCTGCTCATTACAGAGTAGTATAATATGTATACAAATGATCCTGTACAGAAATCATAACTAAAATATTTACTATCAAAGTGAAGGATCCATGTGTTTCTTACAGTTCTGGATTAAAATTTCCCTCCTTTTGTTTATGAGACGTATTTTTTATTTTTTAAGACAAGATCTTACTCTGTCACCCAGAGTAGAGTGCAGGGGGCCAATCATAGCTCACTGTAACCTCAAACTGCTGGGCTCAAGTGATTCTCCTGCCTCAGCCAGTGGAATAGCTGGGGCTACATGTGTGCACTACCATGCCCGGCTAATTTTTCTATTTTTTGTAGAAATGGGGTCTGATTATGTTTCTCAGGCTTGTCTCAAATCGTCAGCTCAGGCAGTCCTCCTGCCTTGGCCTCCCAAGTGCTGGAATTACAGGTTTGAGTCCCTGTGCCTGGCTTGAATGAGATTTTTCACGACTAAAATGATTAACTATTTTGAGTTGAAGGCACCATCCAAAGTATCTACTATATGATTCCACAGTAAAAAATTCCAGAAAATACAAACTATAGTGACAGCAAGTAAATCAGTTGTTATCTCCAGACAGAGATGGAGGGAAGAATGGATTACGAAAGGGCATAAAGAAACTTTGGGAATGATTGAAATCTTAGGGGGGACAGTTTCACAGATGTGTTCACATGTCAAAACTGACTTAATTCGACACTTCAAACCCGTGGAGGTTATTGTATGTCAATTTTACCTTCAATACTGTTTGTAAAATCGTGAACTATTAGATAATGAGAAAGGGACAGTAAATGACTATCATCATTCAACAAGTAAGTGAAAAATAGCTCCTCCATAGCTTTATAGTATTGATGGATCGATTTTAACTGGTCTTTTACACATACTATACATAAGCAGTCCTAGCTGTCCACTTTCAGTGTCTGTAAAAAATAACAAAGACATTTTAGCGTTGCTCTTCCTTCCTTCCTTCCTTCACTATTTTTTTTTTTTAAGCAGGAATCTCTCTTTGTCATCCTGGTGCTGAGGCATCATAGCTCACAGCAACCTCAAACTCCTGGGCTTGAGCAATCCTTTTGCAGCAGCCTCCCAAGGAGCTGGGACTACAGGCGGGTGCCACAACGCCCAGCTAGTTTTTCTGTTTTTAGTAGAGACGGGGTCTCGCTCTTGCTCAGGCTGGTCTCGAACTCCTGAGTTCAAGCCATCTATCTGCCTCAGCCTCCCAGAGTGCTAGGATTACAGGCGGGAGCCACCGCTCCCAGCCCAGTATTGCTTTTCTTTCTGTGTGTCTCTTTTCAAGACTTTTGAAAGAATTAAATAATAAGTATGGCATTATAGCATTTCAGAGCTGTGGAGGGATCTTAGGGCAGATCTGAATTCATTACTTCATTTCATAGATGTGGCCACTTAGGAGAAATGGGGTGCTGTGGACACTATTTCCCTCTGTTATTTGGTTCATGTATATATTCCTCATTTTTTTATCACACAGTTCTAAAAGGCAGAACTCCTGCCTAGAGTACTTTGTTTTCACCTATAGTAGTCGCTCAGTAATGTTGTGGTTTAACAAAGGAATTAATGCCTCGTTTACATAGATAATTGAAGTTCACCAAAATAAACAGAATTTCTTACTTCTTGATAGTTATTTGCTGCTGATACTGACACAGGGTTCACATCTCTCACCTGATTTTGGGTTGCTGCAGGTCATATCGGGTCAATTCTTATCAGATAAGAAAATTGGCACCTATGTAGAAGTGGATATGTACGGGTTGCCCACCGACACCATACGTAAGGAATTCCGGACACGCATGGTTATGAACAATGGACTCAACCCAGTGTACAACGAAGAAGCATTCGTATTTCGGAAGGTAAGGCAGTAAGGCATCCTCAGTGCGTCAAACTCACTCTGCTAACTTGAGAGCCTTGTTTTAGCCCAGAGGCAGGACATGATAACGGAGACAGTCACTCAACCCCAGGGGTCATCTTTTCTCTTCTCCTCATAAGCTTTAGGCTCTGTTTGTCCTTCTGGCTCTCTTCTCCTCTTTGACGGAGGAGCCTACCTCTTATGTGGTGATGCCCATGCTTCGTGCAACCTGTTAGAACTGTCCTCCCTGGGGGCACTCTATGCATTGGAGAGTTACTGCTAACTGGCCCTGTTCTGTCAGCTAAGCAGGCAGGTAGGATGCTTCATGGAGAGTTACTGCCAACTGGCCCTGTTCTGTCAGCTAAGCAGGCAGGTAGGATGCTTCACCCAACCCCGGGTCAGTGTGTGTCACTGCCCGTGTCATCTGGTGTGGTCCTGCGCTCCGGAAAGTGTGGAGTAAAGTGCTCCTCTCGGCTTTTGTGCTTCATGGGCTGTTTCCAGTATCTTTATTTTTTCTCCCCGCACTACATGTTGGATCCTAAGAATAATCACAGTCCTTCTCTCTGATGTTTGGTTTTTAAGCTCCCAATCATCTTCCTTCTTGTTTCTCTTCTGTTGGTTGAAGCTGCATTGAGAAACCGTGCACCCGCAGTGCTGTCTCCCAGAATGTCTGCTTTTCTCTCCTACTGCTCTTCTATCCTGACCAAAATAATGTCTTGCTCCTCTTTTAGGCAAGTTTTCCAGTGGTTCTGCCCCATTCCTATGTCATGCCACGCAGATAATTGGCTTCCTGTCTTAATAAAATAGGGATTATCCTCTTTAGAAAAGAGTGCCTGGTTTACAGAAGCTCAATTAAGGGAGATCAATGTAGGTTTGATAAGGGTCTTTTCAAAATTTAGGTCCACCCCAGGACGTGAATACCATTCATTATGCAGGCGGCCTCCCAAGTCACCTTCACCACGGCTGTCAGGATGGGTGTCAGTTGCATATCCAGCTATCAGTTGGCTTGTTTTCTTCCCTGGTTTTTCCAATTCGTTGTAGCTGCGTCTGCTACCAGTATGGTTAATGTTCTTTGGCATAATGCATAATCCCCGCACAGATTGCAAGAAATTCTGAAACTTGACTCAGGCATTCTTTGTCTTTGATAAATGATGAAATATCCAACTTGGTTTCTGTGTATAATAGTTCTGGCCTCCGAAAGGAGACATCAATTCTGGATTCTTCTTTATCCTTTTGAAGTTAATTTTTTTCATTGATATCAAGTGCTTTGTTTTGTTTCTTCTTATTATTATTGTTAGTTTTTTCACTAGTCTCACGGGGGAGTGACAACGCCCAAGCTTCTCACTTATCACATGAAGGACGAGAGTGAGGAAAGTTGACTGCTTTTTAGCTTGATTTCTCCTCGCCATCTTCATGGAGTTAAGATTAAATTATAACCTCCAGTGGAGGTAGCCAACCAATCCACTGTCCAGCTTTAGACCCAGTACTCAGATCAGCCAAGATGTCCTGGTTGCTCTCAGCCAAAGCAAAGACATTCCTGATTAAACACACTGGATACTCTTTTGTCATATTGCTATTTTGTATCTGAACAAGGATCCTGCCATCTGTATTCAGATTTTACATTCATTTATTCAGTTCTAGGATAGCAGGAGTATGTGCCTTGGGATCTAAGTGTGCTACACGTGTTAATGTTTCTGTCTGCCCCTTCTTACTCCTTACTATCCCCAAATGTGCTGAAAGCTGAGAAATGCAAAAGCAAGAAGAATCCAAATTTCTATATGAACATTGTATTTGTGCAGGAAGCATTTCTTCAAAGATACGTCCCACATTCTTCAAAAACATGCAGACAGATGTGAAAAGCAGCCACAAGCCCCAGTTTCATTCCCGAGGCCCGACTGTGTCACTACAATCTCTGAGGTCAAGGAAAGTACCTTTATTCCTCAAGCGTCTCCTTTTTCTCAAACATTACATGGGTGCAGATGGGGAAAGACAGCGACATTTAGAGTAGTGATATTTAACACCCATTCCCTCTGACCTACAGCACACTGGGGTGCCCCAAGAGGATCTTAGGTGTGCTGCGAAAATTTTTACTGATCACTAATTAAATTATTTTCAAAACAAGTTGAAAGCACAGTAAGTATATTCCTTTTTTATCCTTTTTTTTTATTAACATAATTTAGGTATGCCACAGAAGTTTAAATGTAGGTTCAAGTGTGTTGTGAGATAAAAAAAAAAAAAAAAAGGTTGAAAAACACTGCTCTAACCTATTTGATGAGGTAATTTCCAGGAAACATGTTCCAATTGCCTTGCTCTATGTCTTGGGTGTTGTAGCTCACACAGTATGCTTTCGGAATGCAAATTAATCATGGGCTTCTTTTCAACATAAAGAAGAATTTCAGAGCAGTCCAGATCTGGTCCAGATTCTCAGAGTCGTGGTTCTTGGGAGCTGCGTTATTAAAATCGGTGATGAGTCCTGCTCTTTGTTTGCAGGTGATCCTGCCAGACCTGGCCGTCTTGAGAATAGCCGTGTACGATGATAACAACAAGCTGATTGGACAGAGGATCCTCCCTCTAGACGGCCTCCAAGCAGGATATCGACACATTTCCCTGCGAAATGAGGGAAATAAACCATTATCACTGCCAACCATTTTCTGCAATATTGTTCTTAAAACATATGTGCCTGATGGATTTGGAGGTAAGGAAAAGATCTGGGTATAGAATGTGTCACAGATGAGGTCCTAAGTGGCAAGATTATAAAACATTTTGCCCCATGTTTAAAAATACTAATAATCGTGTCTCTTCCTGCCTTGCTTCCAACCCAGGTAGCCTCCAAGATACCCAGGATAAATAGTAACCTCAAGTAGTAAGAAATGAAAAGATAAGGCTACATTATCTTTAAAGTCCTTTCTTATTTTAAAGTAGTATACTTTTTATGTTGTTTATCAATTTCACAAGCCTGTGTTTGGGCAGGATGTATTTACACTGGTGTTCAAAGTGAGAGGGAAGCGGCATCAATAAGGCGAAACCGTAGATATCTTATTAGCTGGTATCTCTGAAAAATTTAAATAGAACTCAGCCATCAGCATGCCTGAATTTTCTTCTAAATCCACAAGAAAGTTCAGTTTCATAAAGAACCTTATTATCAACGCACATGGGTTTTAAGGCAATCGGTGGGAGGAATTAAAAGCTAGATCAAATCATAGGATTTTGCTTACACCCAAACGCAATTTTTTATAGCTCCCATCTAAGCCAGGAGCGTTAAAAGAGAACAGAGATCCTCTATGTTGTCTGTCAGTCTGTTGCTCTGTAAGGAAATAGTGTTAGCAGAGTGTCTGTGTTGGACGAGCCACAGGTTCCAATCCTCACTCTCCACTGCTGGGTGGGTGACCTGGGGAATAGAAGGTCCTCTCACACCGCTCATTTCCTCACCTACCTCACCTGTAAAGTAACAACAATAATGCTGCCTCCCCCTACCAATGTTATGACACGCTTATCAGTACAGTGTGTGACAGCAGGGCTCACATGCACAAACATATGAGTGTGTGTGTGTCTATAAATAGAGATGCCGGTACTGTCCCAAGACACATCACTATTTTGTTTGGGCAACATGGGATTATTGTACTGTTGTGTTGTAGCAATGCATGCTTCTCTGGGCGTGGCAATGCATGCTTCTCTGGGCGTGGCAATGCATGCTTCTCTGGGTGGGGCAATGCATGCTTCTCTGGGCAGGGCGGGTTTTCTGCAATAGATCCTCACTTGTAACAACCTGACTACAAGTTCCACAAGTCAATTAAGCTATGGGGATTTTTCAGTCAGAAAATTCCTTCCTCCTTCTCCTTTGTCTTTTATTTTTTAAAACGAAAGCACATTAAAAGGTACAGCATACAGTAATAGATGTAAGGACCCATAAAAGAGGCTGGGGGGATGGTGCTGTCTGGTGGGTTGAACAGATCAGAAAAAGGAGACCCGAGACCTGCGGTGTGTGTTAGGAGCTGCAGCCTAGGTCAAACCCCGCAAACCTGCCAGCTTTGCAATGCAGTGAGACCAGGAGATAGCAGCAGGTGGATTAAATCATGCTAAACCTCATCCTGCCCTAGAATGAAGTAGATGAGTAGAAAGATGAGGCATTTGCCAGTCGGGTGCTGTTAGCTGAAAGTGCAATGTGGTCATATTGTGTCCTGGTGTGTTAAAGGGCATTAGTGACGCCCTCTGCCTGGCACTTGAGTGACAATGAGAAAGCCCGCCTGGTTTTTCTGACACAGCATCTCCTGGTAACCAGGGCCCACAGGACGGAGGGAAACTAAGCAGGAAGGAGTTGAGTGAGCATCAGAGGAGTCGCCTGAACTTCATATTTCCTCTGTATGAGGTGGAAGCAGACCCTGTGTCTCCCCTAGACACTGTCAACTGAAAAAGAGAGTCAGTATCCCTAAAGTAATGTCCAGGGCCAGAGTATTACTGTGAGGATCACTGATTGGCTGTGAAGAGAGACAGCAGCTCTACCGTGTGGAGATCAAGCTGCCACCATTGAACCTACTCCAGAAACTGGGTTAGCTCATAGCCAGTGAAACAACCAGGCTTTCTGTCCCCCACGGGCTGCGTGAGCTAGCACAGCCTGCAGAGCACACTTACACGAAGAGAGTCAAGAGAGACTGATCTAGACTAAAGTCGACTTCAGAGATGTGATTATCAAGGACACAGTGTGGACTTTGTATCTTGATTTGCAAAAGAAACTAAGTAGGGCAAAGAAGATGAGCTGTGATATAAGATGAGCTTATATCCCAGTAAGGGATCACTGCCAGTGTTGTTGGATACAGTAGCAGCATGGTTGGTTCTATCAATAAAAGAAAATGCCCTCATGTTTAGAGATGCACAGAGACGTAGTGAGGAATGAAACGTTAGGATGTCTGGAATTTGCCTTAAAATAGTTCAGAACAGAGGAAAGAGAGAGAGAGAAAGGATCGAGAAAGGAAATACGACCAACGATTTGTAATGGTTAGGTCGTTATCCGTCTATGAAGGGTTGTTTACTGTTGTTTCTGTTATTGTGTATGCTTGAAATTTTTTATAACAATATGTTAACAGTAGATCAGTAAATTCCTAGAATATTAACTTCCAAGAAACAATTATCTGTGGGTTTTTATTTCCTGAACAAGATTTAAGAAGTAAATTTGTCCACAAGTACTACTGAGAAACAAAGAGCTCTTAGGGACCACAAGTGATAACTAGAAACAGACCTTATATGCCAGGAGAATAAATTGATGCAGCCTCTGTAAAGAGCGATTTGGCAATAGATGCTCTAGGACAAATACCCTTGCCCTTCATTTGAACTTCTAAGAATGTAGCCTGTGTAACATATGCAAAGTGATGCTAAGGAGCGTTCAAGGACATTCACTACAACGATATTTTAGTAGCAAAGAACTGGAAAGGCTGCACTTCTCTGTTGACAGGGAACTGGTTAAAGAGATTATCACCATTTAGAAAATGGAATATTTAAGCAGCCCTTATAATTAATGTACCAAATGTATATTGTAGATCCAGTGTTTCCAAGATGTATGAACTAAAAAATAGAAGGATGTGGAAAACTCTAAACCCATGTGGGGTTTTAAGTACTATCTAAAAGGATGTAAGAAACAGGGAACAGGAGGTACCTTCTGGGTATAGAGCTGGCAAGAGAAGGGTTTGTTTTGTTTTATTTTGTTTTTGAGACAGAGTCTCACTATGTCGCCCTCTGTAGAGTGCTGTAGCATCACAGCTCACAGCAACCTCAAAGTCTTAGACTTCAGCAATTCTCTTGCCTCGGCCTCCCAAGTAGCTGGACTACAAGCACCTGCCACAACACCCGGCTATGTTTTTGTTTTTGTTGTTGTTGTTATTGTTGTTTAAGAGAAGGGTTTTTAACTTTTTATTTTATGTATCTGAATGTTTATCATGTGCATAGGTTTCTTTCTTTCTTTCTTTCTTTCTTTTCTTTCTTTCTTTCTCTCTTTCTTTTTTTTTTTTGAGACAAAGTCTCTCTATGTCGCCCTGGGTAGGGTGTCACAGCTTTACAGCAACCTCAAACTCTTGGGCTTAAGCAATTCTCTTGCCTCAGCCTCACAAGTAGCTGAGACTACAGGCACCTGCCACAACACCCAGCTATTTTTTGGTTGAGTTGTCATTGTTGTTTGTCAGGCCCAGGCTGGATTCCATACGCCCCTCTGGTGTATGTGGCTGGTGCCCCTGCCGCTGAACTACAGGTGCCGAGCTGCATATGTTACTTTCTATTATAAAAAGGAAAAGAAAAAATTTAAACAGAGAATTGTGTGTCCCATGTGCTGAGTAAAAGTTGTCTTAATAATGTAATTAGGAGGGTGATTCTGCTAAGAAAAAATTTGTAAACTTATACAATTTTTAAAAATTCTAAATTATGTAGTGTTTTAAATTAACAAGAATAATTATTCCCTCTATAGTATTCGTAAATTGTACAAAATTCTATGAAACTCCAGAAGTACTTGGAACTCTTCAAACAAAGTTGTAAAAAAAACCTGAAATTTTACCGTTTTTCAAGAGCAAGTTATACTCTTGCTCTTGAGAAAACCCTGGATGAGATATTTCCATCTGTCTACCATGGAACCAAAGTTGGCTTTAAATATGCATTCGCCTTCTGTATTGAAAAACGAAACTTCGTACTTTTGGCAGCCACTAAGCCTCAAATACTTTTTATGTTCATCATCTCATTGAGTTCTGGCAATAACCCGCAGGGCAGGTGGTATCCACCCCAGTTTCCAGATGAAGAAACTGAGGCTGAGCACACCAGTCAACTTGCTGAGAGTCACATACAAACAAAAAAGAAATCCAAGGCCATTCATTCTGTTTCCCCCTCCTCTGTTGTCTTTATTTGGGGGAAAAACTAAGGGGAAAAATGGTAAAATCATCTGGTCTTTGGTCCTTGCCTTTACTTACTTCTTGTTTTCTACAACTAGTTGGGTTTTCCTCACCATGTCTTATGTCCTAGGAGAAGAGAATGAACAGAAAGTATAACAGGTGTTCAGAATCATGAAGGGTTTATTAGCCGAATTTTCGTGAATATTTGTAGTCAAGCAGAGAAATAACAACTCAGTGGTTTTCTTTCCCCCTAGATATCGTGGATGCTTTATCAGATCCAAAGAAATTTCTTTCAATTACGGAAAAGAGAGCAGACCAAATGCGGGCCATGGGCATTGAGACTGTGAGTAGACGGGGCTGATTAAAGACAGCTGGGCTGGGGAAGCTTGGTCATCAAATAGCGATTACAGAAGCGGAGGGAACTACCAATTCATGTTACAGTGTATAGGGGATTCTTAAAACTGAGCTTTTCAAATCAACAGTAGGTTCAAGGGTCTACAAGGGGGAAGCATGTTTTAAAACATGTGACCATTCTTAGGAAAACCTACTTCATCACTTCATCATGTGGCTTAACTCACATCTGGGGACCACTGCCCCAAAGGCAGCAAAATGGAATCATTCATGATCCTTTTAAGAAGATGTAAAATGTGGGCTGAGCATCCCTAATCCAAAAATCCAAAATCCAAAATGCTCCCAAATCTGAAAAATGTTGAGCACAGACATGATGCCACATGGGTAGCTGAGCCAGTGATACCGTGATGCCACGTGGGTAGCTGAGCCAGCGATACCGTGATGCCACGTGGGTAGCTGAGCCAGCGATACCGTGATGCCACATGGGTAGCTGAGCCAGCGATACCTTTGGTGTCTGATGGTTCTTTGTGCACAAATTTTGTTTCATGCACAAAAGTTTTTAAAATATTATATAAAATTATCTTCAAGCTATGTGCAAAAGGTATGTATGAAACATAAGTGAATTTCATGTTTAGAGATGGGTCCCATTCCCAAAATATTTCATTATGTATATGCAAATATTCCAAAATTCAAAAAAAAAAAAAAAGAAAAGAAAAGAAAAAATAAATCTGAAACATTTCTGGTCCCAAGCATTTGAGACAAAGGACGCTCCCATTCTACTATATAGGATGTTTCTGTAATATGGCGAAAGGCCAACTTACCTAGTTCAGTGAGTTCATGCCAATGGCATTTATTAAAGAATCTTTATTTCTTACCTCACCAGCTTCCCTTCCTGGTCTTCAGGTCCAGTGCACACTTGGCTCCTTTCTTTGTTTTTACTTGTTCTCTTTACCAAACTCCTCCGTTTGGAGTGGAAGTAGCATCTTTCTAGGGAAAGACAGCGTTTTCTCTGCTTGTCAAGGAGTTAGATCCCCTTTCCTTGGCTTGCTCCTTTGCCCCAAACCCAAGGAACCCACAAAATCTTTGCTGTACTCCTGCTGGGTAAAGACCCTTTAGAGTCTAAAAGAGTAGAATCTGGGAAGGGGAATGGAAAAAATCGAGTGGCACAGGCTGAATTCTATAAAATAAAGAATGTGAGTGGCATGCTTTTGGGTCAAGATAAATGTTCCTGTTCCAGAGTGACATAGCCGATGTGCCCAGTGACACTTCCAAGAACGACAAGAAAGGAAAAGCCAACACTGCCAAAGCCAGCGTGACCCCTCAGAGCAGCTCCGAGCTCAGACCGACCACCACAGCCGCCCTGGCTTCTGGTGTGGAAGCCAGGAAAGGTGAGGGAGAGTTGTGGCGCGTCCTCTCTGTTCTGGCAATTTTAGCCTCTTTCTGAAAAATCTTATATGAAGGTATTTGAAACTGTTACTTCTGCCAATTCTCATTGCCCCGTAAAGCTCAAGAGTCGCTTGTTTTCTTGTGGATTGGACAAACTGCTAGATTTTCTTGACCTTGTAATAGGGAATCGATATTTGTGTTCCATCTGCTAGATATCCTGCACCCACCGTAATCATCTGGGCTTATCATACCCAAAGTCTTAGGAAATGTTCAAATTCCGTGTCCCTTATGGAAAAACCTTTCACCTAGTGATGTTAGCTACCTTATCCCACTCTCCTCCAGAAACTGCCACAGCTGTTTGTCTGGACATGAACCAACAAAGTCATGAAAATCCCTTACTGATAATTTCCAGACACAGGTAGACATTTAGCACCCATGATTATTTATTTGTAAAAATTATCTAGGAGTATTTAAAGGCCAACTCCATGTGTTTACCTATGAATGAAACAAAAGATCCTAAGAGGTGACAGCACAAAGAATTAGGCACCTCGTGCCGTGTGTAGGGAACAGTTATACTAATTAATTGTAATTGGCTTCCAGTCTAGCACCCAGGCATCCATTGATTGGAAGACATGCATCCCATACTGGTAGCGAAATATTTTAAATATCCTCCTTGACCATTTACTGAGCTCACTCTTCTTACATTAATAAGAATTTCTCTTTTCCTCATAGTTTCTGACTCAGTAAAGTAGATACAGTTCCCATTTACATGTTAATGGAGTAACCTCCGTATAAAGAAACCAAGTTGTTCATACACTTAAGTACACACTGTGCTGCAGTTTAAGGTGAAAAATGACAGGTTTCTCCAAACCCGAGCAGCATAGTAATTTAGAAGGAAACAAAGTATGCATTGAGTGCTGTAAAATAAATTAGAAAATGAGACTGCACAAAAGTAACCCAATTTGTACTTGGCCTGCAGCTGTTTGTCTGTTCTTCCCTAGAGAGAATACAGAGCAAGGTAATAATATAGACTTTGGGTGTCCAATACCAACCTGGTCATTCTGGACATTAGCCACTCAGAGAGAGGCAATGGGAAGCGGGAGAGCTTATGTTTAGCGTTCTTATATCACACTCACCAGTACATGGAGACATTAGTAATTACAGTGCATTAGTGGCTTAAAGAAAACCATGATGCCATGTAACCAGCTTACCGAGGACAGAAGTGACCCGAGGTCCAGAGGGACCTGTGCGTATGATGAGAAGTGTGTCACCTCCGGTTCCAAACAGGCTGCATTTTAAGGAGACAGCTGATGGTCACTTCCACTCTAGTTTTTTCAAGATGCCCTGAGAAAGGTCTACATGCGGTTTCATTTTGACCTTGGACTCAGGAGACTTAAAATCCTAAGTCACTGTACTGGATTCTACACGAAGTGTCTACCTATCTTCAGGGACCTCACGTGACTATAAGACGGGACAGGCTTCCCCACGTAGCCAGCCCAGGCAGTGTATAATGAGGGCTGAGAAACAGGAAGGGGGAGGACGTCCCTTGCAGCAAGGGCCACAGAGGTGAGGCACGGGTGAGATGCCCATTTCAGCTGGGCCTGGAAACCTTGGTCTGACTTGACCAAGAGGAGAAGGCAGCAGAAGAGGCAGGCCGGGAAACAGTGTAAGAAGCAACCTACAGGCAGGGAAAGGGGATGGGAATGCCCAGTGCTAGTGGTAAAGAGTTCACTTTTTCTGCTCTGGGAAAGAGTCAGGGGTCACCCTGGGAAGGCAATGGGAAGTGATGATCAAAGGAGTATTTTAAGAAGACTAATACAGTCTTGGCTGAAGAACTCACTGAAAGAGGGCATGCTAAGAGCCAGTTAAGAATTAGGGTACTCATGCCTCTATTATAACACTTAACACAGTGTATGAACAGAGTGTTTACAACTAGAGAACTAGGTTCTATTACAGGCAAGACCACACCTCATCACCAGTGTGTCCCTAAAGCTATACCTTGTAAAGACCTAGTAGTTTCTTTTCTTTAGAAGTACATGGATGATTCATGAAAACAGTGGAAGGGAGGGCCTGGATTGAGGGGGAAGATTCAGGATGGAAAGTAAGAATTCTGACAGATAGTGTATTAGTTATCTTATGCTGTGTAACAAATGACCTCAAATTTCAGTAACTTAAAACAACCACCATTTATTGAGATCACGCTTCATGAGGTTGGTTGGTCTGAGCTGGCTTGTCTGATCTCTGATTTTTGCCGGTGTTCAGCTGGTGGGCTGATTGGAAGCTTGATCCTGGATGACTTACATGTCTTCATTTGGGAAGTGGTCTCACATCTTCCAGAAGCCTAAGCAAACTTAGTCATAAGGACTCCTTTTTTCAGGCTCTACTCGTGTCCCATTGGCCATAGCAAGTCACAAAGATAACTCAGATTCAAGGGGGTTTGAGCGAGGATCAAAACAGAAACCCAGATCCCAGTTCATCCCCAATTAAGGGAATGAGAGAAAACAAGGTATTTTTAAGGAGCTATGTTGATAAGCACAAAAACTTTATGTAGTGAAATTTCAAGTAGCCAGGATCTTTGGAGCCCGGTATGTGCTCTTAACTTGCTTTCATATCAAAGAAGCCTGTTACGCTTCACTGGCCACTGTAGGAGCCAGTGGCCACATGTGGCTATTCTAAATTATTTAGTTTCATTTAAAATTAAAAATAAAACTTTGAATTCCTCATTCATATCAGCCACATGGAGGTGCTCAAAAGCCACATGTAGCTGTAGCTGATTGGACAGTTCATGTATGGAACATTCCCATTATCTTGAAAAGTTCTATGAGCCAAGTCTTCTACCCATGTAGATGGAAATGAACAAGTGCCAGTTCCCGTTCTGTAGAGTGTGGGCTTTTTTCCTAATGGAATCGCTCATGAGAACCAAATTGTTTACAAGTTATTTGTGTCTTTGTCCAAAATTCAAAACTAGGCCAGGCACGGTGGCTTCCACCTGTAATCTCAGCACTTTGGGAGGCCAAGGCGGGTGGATTACTTGAGCTTAGGAGTTTGAGACCAGCCTGGGCAAGAGTGAGACCCCGTCTCTATGTCTCTATTAAAAATAGAAAAACTAGCCCAACATACTGGCTCATGCAAAAAAAAAAAAAAAGCAAGACCAGGTGACTGATTTACTAATTTCTCATTTCAAGATTTAGTTGAACCAATATTTAAAAAAAAAGTCTCATCAGACTGAGTCACACTCTTCCTATTTGCTCACTCTCTGGAGGACCTCATATGCTCCCCAAATCCTGTATGTTTATTTTACAGACAAGAGAGCTGAGACCCAAAGACAGAGAGGATTCGCTCTCCTGCCTTGCACTGCCTGTCAGTCACCAGGGAGGTAGCTTGTGACATCATACTTAGGAGATCAGAGAAGCAGCCCACGGACCTGTCCCTCTCCCACGATAACATGTTACAGATCACACTACTGATTTCTCCCAGCCGAGACTCTCCTGAGATCTTACTGCCCTCACACTGGATGTGCAAATCTGACAGTGAATAAAACTGGAAAACCTGGGACTTGGTGCCTGTCTTTCTTGAGTACATCGTATCTCACCTTTAGGATTCTAATGGAAATCAATTATAGTACAGAGTGTGCATTCTTTTTGTTTGCTTAAGATAAAAATCTGCAGTCAGACAGAACCTGTTTGGGGATTCTTCTCCAACTGTGGTTGCCATGACGACACCTGGCCCACCATCTCTCAGATAGCAGGGTGACTTAGTAGATCACTCCAGTCCTCCTAGCAGCGTCCTCTTATATAACAGTTTGATTTCCTCCTTTCTTGTGTGTCAAAGGCATTGCTGTGCTCAGTAACATCTTGCTTAAATGCTAAGGTTAAATTTGGTAAACCAGAGAAGCTAAAAAATAGATGTTGTTCTCTGATAATTAAGGTGGGAGTAGAGTTGAGAATTAGTACTTTAGGATATGCCTTAAAGGACAAAGAGGACACTAATCAGTGCTGTTGTGCCTCATCAGATCCCCTTTACGGCATTCCTGCTCTGTTTCCCAGCTCCCAAGTTTTGGCTGATTGGGAATTAGAGTTACTCCTTCAGAGAATTGCCCTGAGACCAGGGGAGTTCTCTTGCCCAGAGATACCTGGAAGGTTTCATAAAACGTCTGAAGCCCTCAGCCCACTCACCCAGGGTTACAAAAGCCCGGTAGAACAGCTCTCCAGCACTATTTATACGAAAGAGCTCCCTGTAGGATTGGGCTGAGGCTGGACTTCAGCAAGATACCCACCCTGTCTTCCTCCTCCACTCTATCTGCTTCTCTCACTCCCTTAGGGCTTTCTCCCAAGTGTCTGCCCTCAGGAAATCATGTGCACTCAAATCCCCTTCTCAGCCGAATAAGGAAAACCTGACCTAAGATAAGAAGCATTTCAGCTGTCCACTTAATTACTTTGTAATAGGAACTTATGATGTTCACACCTATCACATGTAAACCTGCTTCTAAGTCTTAGATGAGATTTCAAAATGTGAATTCTCTATGATTAGTGTTCTCTCTAGTTCTTCGTATACACTGTGACCTCATGTTTCTTTTTTTTAGGTATTGAACTTATCCCTCAAGTGAGGATAGAAGATTTAAAGCAGATGAAGGTAAAATGGCTTGATCACTCTGCAGGGGCTCCTGTGTGACGCCCAGTGATGTTACTCATATATTTTTGTTTCTCACCAAGTGTAATTACAGTGACTACAAAAAACATGTTTGAATTCTCTTTATTTCCCTGCAGGCTTACTTGAAACATTTAAAGAAACAACAGAAGGAGCTAAATTCTTTAAAGAAGAAGCATGCAAAGGTACAGTGTTGTACAGAAAGCTACTATTTGATATTATGTATCAAAGGATCATTCCTGACAAAAACATGAGTAACTTGGAACTCATCCTGGCCAACAAAGCTGTACCTTCTTTGTAACTAGTTAGCAGTTAAATTAAAATATAGAATCAATTCAGGAGTGGTGGTCACTGATTCAAAGTCTGCATTTCTAGCAGTTATTTCAAAAGCATAACAAAACTTTATCTATTTAAAAATTGTTCCACTAATAATAAGAAAACTCTGAGCTATAGCCTGACTATTGAGGACTAGCTCACAATTTTAGCCACTAGCTACCTACATTCCTTGGGTCACTGCCAAATGGTTTGCCCCACAAGGTGCAAGGAGGGAGATTTTAGCAAGCTCTGAACTTCCCACGCGGCAACTTAGAGAGAAACACATCTCACTTTTTCCCCATTATGTAAACCCTACCCAGTGGCCTACTTCTGAAATATATTTATTTTTCCTTTTTACCCGTTAGAAGAGGTCTTTTGGGCAGTGATTCTGGGAAATTGTAAGAGTTAGTTGCAAATTTAAGAAAACAGCAGGAGGTGGCCCCAGAAATTCTCCTGTAGGTTTAAAAACTTCATAGCCCTAAACAGGATCCATCTTTCCTAATTTCCCTCGCAGAGAAAGAAGGAAAAGATAGGATCTCTTTCCTTCCTAAGATGAATAATAACAACTGCTGCTGCTACTACTCTTACGTTAATATATGTCCTCTTCCAGTAAAAGCAGTGAGAACGAGGGACGCTTATTTTCTTAGTTGGAAAGAACTTATGAGTTCCTATAAACTAATCTTTTATTCCTGCTTTTATATACTCTGACCCAAGCCTCAAATCAAGACATGTCCTTCAGAGCTGGGTCTGAGTGACGTACCTTTGAATCACTCCAGGTATTAAGATCCAGGTCTTGGCCTCCATCATTTTTTTCATAAGAGTTTGTGCTCCTTTGAGAAATCGGGGCTCATCTGGGCCTAGTAATGTTTCCTCTGTTATTGAACTGATGGCTCAATGGATTTGCTGACACAGAGGTCGCTTCAAAGAGTGTTCCTAAGCGTCATGGGTAATTCCACTCACTGGGGATTTCTCACATTGCCCAGTGAGGCCATTGGAGACAGAGCTATTTAAAGCAGGGGGATTTCAATTTTCTTGGTTATTGGCAACAAACTGGAATATGGGAAGGCAACAGAAAAAGACAGAAAAGGAAATCAGAGAGGATATAACTTAAATGACTAATTATTAGGAATGGAGTTGGTTCCCATATGCCATGGGATTATCTAACAGATTTTTCTTGCATTTAAATTGCATCTCTGTCCTTGAACGGCTCCTCTGCAGCCTTGGGGCTACTTGGAAACATAAATGTTTTGGTCTCATTTAATATTTTTTTGAGGCATGACCAGGAAATACACGGTGACTGATAATAATAATGCAGCAACAATAACAGCAGCTTGAATTTTTGCCTGCTCAGTAATTTCCAGGTGCTGTGTTCAGCACTTTACATGGACTGTCTCGGTTAACACTCTCTACCCTAGAAGGTAAATTCTATTTAAGTCACCATTTTACACAAGCGGGAATTAAGGATTACTGAGATTAAGCAATTTGATGCCCCAGACTTAGGAAGAACAAAGCTGTTGATTGTACCTAAATCATCTGAATTCAGAACTCTTGCTGTGTTATCTTAAACAGGAAGTTGGATGCTTCACTAAGTAAAAAAATGGACACTGAGTAAGCACAGGGGCGTTAAGAAAAAATCACCATCTACACTGGTTACCTGAACCAGTCAGTTTAGATTTCAACTAGATCTTGAAATCGGAAATGAGTGCAGAGGGATGTTACCCAGCGTACAGAGCAGAGCGGTCTGTTCGCTCCTTTGTCTAAACCTTTGCACTCAAATAGTCCAAAATGACTTCGATCAGTTCACAAGTCTGTCCATTTCAATCAGAAAAGTAGCAAAGATGGGAAATTATTTTTCTGTAGGACAGTTTAGAGGTGAGTTCGGTCAGGTTTTTTTTCCAACCCACGATGCCTTGGGCTTCGTGCCCTCAGGCTCCTTCTCTCTGGTCAGCAGGGAAATAAATATTCACATCATTCACTGATCAGTTAAGTCCCGTATGGATGAAGGAGTCTAAGTTGTTTTCGTTTGTACGGAAACAATCTCAGGCTTCTTGGACTCCACATTATAATAGAACCTAAAAGAAGATTTTAAATCTCCCCAAATCCGACCTTCTGAATTTGGGTGCACTTTCGTAACAGCTTCAGTGTGCATTTTTTCTAGAAATATTAGCCTTCAAAATCCCTTAGGTCAAGTCACAGAGCTAAATTGCCATAAGAAAATATGAAAACAGACAGACCCCAAGTTACGGACATCTGACTTGCATATGGCTCAAACTTACGAACAGAGGCTATTCCAGGTAATAGGTAAATATACCTGTTCGAACTTACATACGTACCCAACTTAAGAGCAAACCTACAGACCCTGTCTTGTTCATGACCTGGGGGCTGCTGTACTTCCCTGCTGTTTTTCAGAAGCTTTTCTGAGCAGGGAAGTGCATTTTGCTGCTGTTTTTCTTATCCTCGTGTTCTTCTGAAGTCTGAGTCACAAGTGTGTGAATATCAGCTCATGAATGAATTCCCTTTCAACATTAAATGTGCAAGGGCCTCGCTTTTTTTTTTTTTTTTTTGCAGTTTTTGGCAGGGGCTGGGTTTGAACCCACCACCTCTGGCATATGCAGCCGGAGCCCTACTCCTTGAGCCACAGGCACCATCTGACCTCCCTTTTTTATTCAGTCTGTTTTGGCAGTGTAATTTATGAAATCTGCATGCTAGAGTCTTTTTATTAGGTGAACTTTTTCTTACTGCCACTTTTGTGTTGCACATTCTATGTACATTTTCAGGTCCTCACAATACCCTTAAATAATATTCTCCACACTTTAGACATGAATAAAATACTCATAATACCCATGTCCTTCATAACTCACCTCATTGTCTATTTTTCTTTAAAAAGTTTTTTATCTATTGTAATTGTCCAAATGCTTTATAAATGATGTATTATCTAACAAGTAGACCTTCCTGTCTATAAGCATTCTATAATTTTTTAGTCTATAATATTTCCTTACTATTTTCTACTACGTTGTCTGAGCCAACTTCTAAGGTGAAGAATGTGTATATATATATTTACTTTCTATTTACCTTAAAATGCTTATACTAGATTACACATATTGATGGCTACTTAAGCACTTATTCTTCAGTATTCCTGCAACAATAATACAGAATACTATAATTATATTAAGTTGTATTAACTAGCTTTTGCAAACCACCCTGAAATGTAGTGACTTAAAACAGCAAGCATTTATTTAGCTCACAGTCTGGTGAGTGGGTCTGCAGTTTGGGCTGGGTTTAGCTGGGTGATTCTTCTGGTCTCATCTGTACTCGCTCATGCATCTGCTGTCACTGCCACTTTGGCCGGTAGAAGGTAGATGGAGGCTGGCGGATTTACCAAGGCTTCTGCTAAACTACTTTCTCTCTGTTTTATGCAGTCTCTTGTATAGCAGACTTGTCCAGGCTAGTTCACATGGCAAGGATCCCAAGAGACCAGGCAGGTCATGTAAAGTTTCATGATGCCACAGCTCAAAACCGGCATCCTGTCACTTCTGCCTCATTCTGTTAACTAAACAAGTCCTAAATCTATCCTAGATTCAAGAGATGAGGACTTTTATCTCTTGACAGGTGACAAAGGTCACATCAGAAATTGAAATGGATTAAGAAAATGAAATAATTGTGGTCATTTTTACAAACAGTCTACCAACCTTGTGATGGATAAGAATATTTACACTTAAAAGAAACAAAGCCTGACTAAATCCCTAATATTTAAATGATGGATCCAGGATCTGGATCCAAAGGCAGTCAGACTTGAGAACCCAGGCTCTTAATCACTATATTCAGCTGCCTCTGACTTTACTCACACTAAATTTTTTCCTCTCTACATATCTTTTTCTTGATCGTCTCACTAACATGTTTTTAAAAGCAATCATAAGTCTGTCAGGGCACAAATATCACGGTTCCTTGAGAATTGGTTTTTCAGTACATGATCATTGGGCCAAGAACTGGAGGCTTCATAAAAATTCATCTTCCTGCAGCCACCTGAGACTTAGCTGTAAGTCTCCGAGCAGAGGGTGTAGGAAATGTGCAGAGTGACAGTAAAGTTCACGTGCAATTTAAAATAGACTTTAGGGCCACCCTGTGTTTTTAAATAAGCTTCTCTCCTATGCACAATTGATTTGTGAACTCTTTCTAAGAGTGCTACTCTTAGAAACCCTACTGATTGCTTGCAAGAGGCAGATCAGGCCTGCCCAGGGAAACAGGACTTGTACCTTATTGTCAAGAAGTAGTGAGAATAAATTCCCCCATATGTCTATGAAAGAAAGTCTACAACTCTTTTATAATAGGTTTGAAACTATCTACAATGAGGCTAAGGTTTGATGCTCCAAGGCCTCAGATTATGCAATTACCTACAGAGGAGAGAGGACGGCCTGGGCTGCACCCTCACCCCTACCATGTACATAGCCCAACCTTGGCCCTTGGTAGCTAAGAGCAGAAACTAGTACTTAGTCCATATTCAGTGACTGTAGGAAGATCTCATCTGTTACATATCGGCTTAGATAAATAATTCCGCTTCTCAGACTTAAAGGGAAACAGCAAACCCATTAAATAAATCCCAGGGAGTTAAGAAGTAAATAGATTGTCCAAAGAGAGCTTATTTCTAAACTTGAAGCTACAGTATAGTAACAGAATAGTGATATGGATATGAGGATTTTATGTTTGCAAAAGACAGCCTAGAAATAGGTGCATGATCTGCCATTAGGATACCAAGAACAAAAGACAAGGGTAATGAGACCAAGATGCTCCTTAAAAGCCTAGTTTTTTGAAACTGGAGTGGTTAATTGCTTTTGACCTCCGGGATGCAGCTGGCAGGCGGGGTTCTACTTGC